GGGTACGAATGACTCAAAGGAAAAGCGCCGCAGTCAAAGTACACTTAAATAGATGCCCTGCTCGCATGGGCACGAAAACACGAGACGGGGCTCTGAGATGTCATGACCATGTCGAATGTAAAACGCAATGAAAGTGTCGGCCACGTTTCACTTGGCGGTGGTTGGGGCCATGTTAACGACTTCTTGGCTGCCGAGGCGAATGCTTTGCATCAATTACAAATTTGACAGAAGCACTCAAAGCATTTGGCAGCGAGAGCAGCAAATATTTTCCAGTCATTTTTTTCTTCGTTTTTCTGTTTTAAGTATTTCCAGTAATGAAAAGTGAACTTACTTTCACGGAGCCTGTATGTTTTTCTTCTTTTACTTTCGCAACACATTGATCAAGATATTCAATCGAGATATTCAATCGATACTTGTTTCCACTTGGCAAACACTTTCCCAATTGCCTCACCATTTTTGGTTAATTGCAATCGCATCAGTTGCAAGCTTGTCATTGACTATTTGCTGCCTGCCTGCCTGCCTGGATTTTGGCTGGATTTGCACATCCCCCTTGAGGCAGACATATATGATTTTCAGCACGCCAAGTGAAATCGCCAAAAGTGTCCCTGATGACACGCCGGCAACAACTGCACCAAAACGAAAGCCACACAAGCCGCAGCCTGAGTTGGCCAAAAAAAAAAACACAACACAAAAAAACATAAAGAAAACGTCAAGAAATTTATTCTCACACAGCCTTTGTAACTTTGGCAATAGACTCGGAGGCACTTTCACCAAAAGAAAAGCTAGGAAAAACAACAACTCGGAGCGCTGCTCCCTTGACAATTTAATGCCAAGCATCAAAGCTTAACCAACGCATTGTTTACAGCTCAAGGAATTTTTGTTGAAAGCGTGTGAGAAATTACAATAAACGAAAAATGAAGACTAAGAAACTAATCGTAATTTATACTTATTTAATTAGGTATATTATTGTAGATAGAGTATACTACATCCATACCTTAGACTGGCTTTCGAGCTGGAATTCTGCTAGTACCTTATATCTTTTATAAATACAACTTTGGTAGATATAGGGATATTTAATGTAGACTATATCGCATCTATACCTTGGCCTGGCATTCGAGCTGGAATTCTGCTAGTAACTAATTTCTGTTATCTATTTATATATAGTCAGGTATATTAGAATTATTATATTTATACAACTTTGATGGGGATAGAGATATTTATGTTAATGTAGACAATAACAAATCTATACTAAAGCCTGGCTTTCGAACTGGAATCCTGCTTGTAGCTAATATCTTTTATCTATGTGTTTAGTGAGGTATTTTATAATTATGATTATATTTATTATATTAATACAACTTTGATAGGGATATTTAATGTAGACAATACCACATCAATATCTTAGACTGGCATTCGAACTGGAATCCTGCTAGTACCTAATATATTTTATCTATTCATATAATTAGGTAAATTATATTTATGATTATAGTTGGCATTCGAGCTGGAATCCTGCTAGTTCTCAATATCTTTTATCTTTACAAAAATATTTCATTTGTTTAACCCGCAGCTAAGATCTTAATTTCTTGAATATTCTCTCGAGCGGAATAACAAACAGTTTATGTAATTGTCTCAATTTTGTTGCAGGCCGCGGCAAGATGAAGAAAATGGGCATGATGATGGCCATGATGATGGCCACCAAGCTGATGGGCATGCTGCCAATTGCCATGGGCGCACTCTATATACTGGCGGGCAAGGCGTTAATTATCTCCAAGATAGCCCTGCTACTGGCTGGCATTATTGGCCTGAAGAAGCTGATGTCTGGCAAATCCTCCGGCGGCAGCTCTGGCTGGTCATCGGGCGGTGGCGGCGGCGGCGGCGGTGGCGGCGGCGGCTGGTCCTCGGGCGGCGGTGGCGGTGGCGGCGGCGGCGGCTGGGACAGACGCTCCTTGACCGAGGCGCAGGAGCTGGCATATCGTGCGCACAGCAGGCAGCAGGCAGCCCAGCAGCAGGCAGCTCAGCAGCAGCAGCAGCAGCCGCTGGGAGCGCCGCTGCAGCCAACGCTGGCCAAGTCATAGACGCCACACACACACACATGCACACAAAAGTTAATAGCTCCAAAGCTGCATTTATCTTGTAGATAAATTACCAGAGCAGACAAAGAACGAGAGAGAGACAGAGAGAGAGAGGGAGAGCGGAAGAGACGAGCGCCGAGGGGCAGAGGCTGGCAAATTGTAATTAGATTTTCCAAATGCTTGCTGCTGCAACTTTTTTTTTCCCCCCCCCCGACTAAAGTTGATGCGTTTGCAACGGTTAACGGTTGCACCTACAGATACATCGCTGCAAATGTATCTGTAACGTGCATCCATTTTAATCATTGCCATTTGCATAATACAAATCGATTTACGTAACATGAGAATGTGACGCACTCGGTTCCGTTCCGTTCCTATTCTATGCTATTCCCGTTTACAGCTATCCACTTGAACTTCTGTCTGAACTTTGTATCTGCATCTGGCTGTCGCTCCATCTATCTATCCATCTATCTATCTATGTATCTCTAACTGCACACAGTTCCTGTTATTTTTCAATTATTCATTCATTCACTCGCTCACTCACTCACTCACTCACTCACTTATTCACTTATTCATTCTGTTGTTTCTTCTGGTCTACAGCAGCCAGCCGCGCTCTGCGCCCGTTTCCAGCTCATTTTCACGCGCACAGTTTTTGATTAACTTTAATCTTAATTCGCCTAACTGTAGTCTAGTGTAATAATTTATTAACATTATTTATTTCCTAGCTCTAAGCGTGTCTCGCATGTAAGCAGCAAAGTTTTTCAAGAAACACAAAAGTTACAAAAAAAATGAAAACAATTACAAATAAAAATAAAATATAACAATAATATATTTTTATAAATAAACATTTTCTCTGATTCAATTTACTTTTGTCGACTACAAGGTCAGCTTAAAGTCCAGCTTGGCGCTCACGTGCTGTCCTGTATACTGATTTATCTGAGCCAAACAAACGACACGTATACGTACGCTTCCTGGCATCCTGTGGCCATACGGCAAGCTCTCGGTGTGTGTCCTTGACAACCTTGGCACCAAATGCCAGCATGTCCCCATATGTCCCCAGACTCGCCCACGTCCTGCTCGCACATCCTTCCGCATGCACAAGGACATGCTGTGGCCCCAGCCCCAGCCGTGGCCATGTCCACCTGAGACATGTCCACGTTGTAGGTGAGATTCCCTAGATGTTCATGTGCTGCAGCTTATTTCACGACAATAGTTTATTGTTCGCCCTGCCCGGGGGATTGTTGAGATAATAGCGGAGAAGCATGCACGCCATTTGGATGGAAACTATTTTGGAATGTTAAATATAAATATTATGCGCTTCATTCGAGCAGCCGATGGCAATTATAAGGTGATTCAGCAAAATAAACGTTAAGTAGTTCCCAGAATAGAAAGGGGCCAGAAGCAACTTGGCAAGTTATTGAAAAATCCCCAAAATTTAAATCAAGTTCAAGGCGACCTCGACTTTTAGTCTTCGAGGCAACTCTTTACAAACGGTTTCCGTATTTGAAAAACCAGGTTCAAATCATCATCTCTCAGCCAAAAACCCGAACTCGATTGTCGTTACAAATTATTAGTTGGGCTGCTGTAACCTTTACATAACAATATCAGCGCTATAAATCAAGTTTGCCGAAGCGAACCAAAAACAAGCCAAATTAAATTCTTCAACTTTTCAAATATTCTGGTTTTACCTTATACTGGTTTCGTTCTGATATCTCTGCTAAATGGCTGGCATGCGTGAATAGAAAGAAAGATTATTTCATTTTGAAAATAATAAATAGATTATTCAAATCAAAAGAGTTATTGCTGGCGAGTCGTGGGAGTGTTCGACCGCCAGATACCTAGTCATAAAGTAACCCTCATATCTAAACCAGTCGATTTTTTTTGCATTTTAGCATTTGTGACAGCTCGACAAAGCTCTATAGATATATGGCGAATTTTATTTGCGGCTCGCAAAAATCAATTTTTTATGGTTTTGAAGAACAGAAAATAAAGAAAAATAATTAAGAGAGTCGGCAGTGTCCGACTGAGAGATACCCTGAACCTAGAACAAAGAAGTTGTTCAAATATTGTAGCTATATTCTATTTTAGCTGCTGTGCTTCTTCTTCCCTTTGCCCCATAATAGTTATAAGAAATGCAGCCTTAAATAACTTCGGTGTTTACAGTCCGATCTTAATGAAATTTTAGAGTACATAGAGAAGGCAAAAGTATAAGTCAACGAAAAAGTATCTACCTTGAAATAATGATAATAGTAATAATATTAGAAATTCAAATTCTGTGAAAAATGTGGAACTTTCTTAATCTGAGTATTACATACGAGAGCCAATTGAGGTGTCTCTAATCTTAACAATCTTTGAGTTATCCCTGAAGAGTCAAGGTTCCAATCGATTTTATAAAAATTTAAGGAAGTATCCGAAAAAAATAAAAAACTTGTACTGCATCAATGCGTTCTAAACATAAAAACTGAACATCTCGAAAATATAAGAATTTAAATATTTCTTTTAGATCAAAGGCGAATACTAATATCTGGATTATTCTTACAACTGGATATCTTAAAAGCCAAAAACTTCCACAGATAATTAGCGGCTTTTCAACTGAAACTTACAAAATTTAAATATTTAAGTAGTTGTTCGTATTTCGATTGTCATCAACTTATGTGGATGTTTCCAGAGTTTGCTAGAATCAATATATTTAAATTGATGTAGCCAACTTTTATCTCAGAGAGACTTCTCTTTTGGTTACATCGATTCGTTTGCAAATGTAACAATTTACTTTTATATACCCTGTCTAACGCTACTGCAGGGTATACGCATTAATTTATGCTCTTTAATTTTGGCTTTTTTGTTGCCTGAGGAATGAAACACGTAGCACATTTAATTTTTTTTTTACTTTTTATTTTACGGGCTTCTTACGTTACTCTACAGTTAGTCGGGCGTTTACTTCTTCTTCCACCAGCCGGAGGAGCCACCGTTGCCACCGCCATAGCCGCCGCCGTAGCCGCCGCCGTAGCTGCCGCCGTAGCCGCCGCCGTAGCCGCCGCCATAGCCGCCACCGTGGCTGGTTGTGGTGATGACCTTGTAGACATCAACGTGACCGCCATGGCCGCCGCCGTAGCCGCCGCCATAGCCGCCGCCGTAGCCGCCGCCGTAGCCGCCGCTGTAGCCGCCGCCATGGCCGCCGCTGTAGCCACCGCCATAGCCGCCGCCGCCATAGCCGCCGCCGCCATAGCCGCCGCCGCCGTAGCCGCCACCACCGTGTCCACCGTCGATTATTTTGATGACCTGGACGCCACCGCCGCCGCCGTAGCCGCCACCTCCGTAGCCGCCACCGCCGTAGCCGCCGCCGCCGCTATAGCCGCCACCTCCGTAGCCGCCGCTGTAGCCACCACTGTAGCCGCTGCTGTAGCCGCCGCTATAGCCACCACCGTAGCCGCCGCCGCCGCCGCCGCCGCCCTTGCCGAGCAGACCCAAGAATCCTGCCTGGGCAGTTGCCAATGCGGCGACCACAACGAATAGACACACAAACAGCTGGGCGAAAGAGATAGATTTAGTGTGTGTGTGAGTGTTTGTGTGTGTGCATAACTGTGGAAGGAACTGAATCCTTGATCCTTCCCAAAAGGCTAACTCACTTTCATAACGCACCGTACGCTGTCAGAGCAGGCGAAAAACTAATTCGAATTAACCGAAACGCCTTCAATTTATGAGCAGACGCCGCCTCCCAGCTGTCTCTGCGAATCAAACCGAAACCAAAAGCCGGCCAAGAACAACAAACATTAAAGCCAAAACAAATTAACTAGCTAGTTAGCCGGACAGAGCACATACATATATACACATATACATATACATGCCCAAACAATTATATAGATATCTGTGTGCATATATGAGAGTTGGCCTCTGGAAAGGTCTCTGTAGCTGGTTATGAATGTTGTCCGCTCGGAAAGTATATTTATTTATTATTTGCATTAGTGCCCGCTTAGGAAGTGTGGATCCTAAACTAGTTCTGGCCGAATTAATTTGCATCTCATTTACACACACACACGCACACAGATACGCATCAAATTCGGTTGAACAACAATCGAACTGAATGCATGCAACTGATCTCAATCCCCGGCTGTCAGTTCGATTGGCAAGCCATAAAAATTATAAAAAAATCAAAACCAAACTACACTCGTATCTATTGTTCGTTATTGTTTTTGTTTTCTATGCGCTGCGATTCATCTATTAAAATTAATTCAAAATCTGGTCAAATTGTTATTCAGCCAGCAGTTGTCGGCAAATTGTTCAAACTTCATGCCGGGCGGGCTGTACGGGAGGAGGCGTGACAAGTTTAAAAACACTTCAAAAGCGAGTGGCAATAAAAATTTAAATAAACACATTAAAGTCTTAAATGGATCCATCCATGCTCCATGATTGCAGCAAATTGACAGCCTTGACAATGAAATATTATCAGGAAGGTAAGCATATGTATTTTGATTTTTTTCTTTGATGATTCATCGTGACCCGCTCTTAACGATCCGTGGAAACGCAGCCAGTTGGCATTTGACTCAAGAGAAATATATTCATTTAATCAGACTCGCTTATATTAAATACAAATCACAATTTAGATTGAGAGAGAAGAAGCCAAAATGTTATTCAAGTCATTCAAAATATGCATTTGAAAACTGTTTTAAGAGACTTGCTTTAGTCTCAGCTCAATTTTATGCAGGTCGACAAGAAGACATTGTTGCTTATGATTAAGCTACTTCGAACTTCCATGCAGACAATATTTTAATTCTATGCAACTATTGTACACTTTTTTGCTTGCAGAAGAGGACGAATGTTTGCTAGCTTAAATAAACTTCCAAGCTTTACTTAGCTTTCAATGTTGCATATCTTTTGACTATTTCAGAAAAAAGATTCTGCCTGGAATCATAGTTAAGATTCTTCAAGCATTGCGCTTGAATCTTAAAACACATTCTCTGGACCAGTCTTTGTATTATTTTTTTTTAGTACTTTCCAAAACTATTGTATATATTTTAATATTATTATTGTCAAACTCCAATTTGATAAAAAATCTTTGATCAAAAATCTTCGATAAGAAAGCGTCGATAAGTAATCTTTGCAATACCTATATAAATTACCATTAAAAGCTGGGCTTGGTACTTGAAATTGTCATCTTTAGTCAGGTTTGTCCAAAAAATTCGAACTCAAGTGAGACTCTTAAATTGTAATCTAAGCTGTAACTTTAGAAAACATGGATAACATTATGCAGTGGGCGTGGTGGATTTTTAAAGTAGATGCGAATCAGTTTTGTGTGCCTCTAGCGTAGAAAAAAGTTTGAAATTCAGAGTCCTTAGCGTAAAAAATGTCCGTTCTCAAGGACTTACCAATAGATGGACAGTGGAATAGAAAGGGAAACATTTCTAAAAGCCAATACACTCCTTTCCACATACTTACAGCTAAATAATAATCCTACCTCAATTTCACATGCCTCAGCCTAGTGTATTGTTGTTGTAGTTTATTCAAAAGGAAGGAGAATGTTATTCTAATTTTATTCCTAATTTTATAACTCTTAAGAATATTCAGTATGGCAGCCTCTCTTAGATATGCTCCCTCAATACACAGCCACTCATATTAAAAAAATATGAAAAAAGATTGCCACTAATCAGAAGTTTGGCATGGTAAAGCACGTAACCAATTTAAGCCCAACCGCGCACCTGCCACTATCTGGCACTTAGGGACGAAACCAGCTAGACTAAGGCGAGCACAGGTAAGAGCGCGGTTTGCTCCTGGCTCTAAGAAAACAAAGCACATGGGGGCTGGGGCACGAAATCGATTACAATTGCCGTTTATGGGCCGCTTAAAAGTATGCAACAAGCAGCTGCCAAAAGTGCCAGCGGCAGCTGTCGAAGTGCTCAAAAGCAGGCAACACATTTGAAAGCACGCGCTGTTGCATGCAACTTGCCTGCTTTTAGTCGCAATAAATATCAAAGATGTGGCAGCTATCACAGCTGAAACGCTTGGGCCCCAGCGACAGTCTGTCAGTGCGGCAATTAGCTGCGGCAATTGTGTGTGCTGCAAGTTCAGAGCTGGCAATTAGCATGCCCCAAAGTGCAGCAGCTGGCTGATTAGATTGGGCACACTTTCGCGGCGTCGACAGCGACGTCTTCGCCTTGGACACTTATATAGAATCATAGTGTCAAGTGCAGGCGGCAGTTGGCATCGAGTTGGCCAGCAAGACGCAGCCAGGCAGAAAAGTGAAAAGCAGGTCCATACCCCATATATATATACCTGGCTCGCCATTAATCTATATACACCTGTTAATTAAAGTGTCAACGCTTCAATGGACAAATCAGCTGCTGTTATATATAAAAAATATAAATAATTAACTTAGCCAATTGTGAACAATTCGATCAGCTTGCAATTCTTAACAGCAAATAGATTCGACCTGACCACATAATGGACGTGTGGCAAGCAGCTACGCTTGACAGCCGCTCGGTGGCATGGTAAAAGTCAGAGCAGATACATTTAGAGGCCAGTTAGGGTTTTGGGACAGCGGCCACTTTTCGGCGAAAGGCCGTTAAAGTCGCTCAACTAAAACAGTCGTAAAAGCTGTCGAGAGTTGTTTCTTTAGAATTCAATCAAATCTTAAAACGTTGCCCTCAGTTCGATTCTAAACGGCGTGCGGCGTGGTTCGTGTGTGAAAGGAAACAAAATGTGGCAGCAACAAATGTTGGCGTTAAGCGTTTATTGGCTCCTGGCGCAGGCCGAGGGCGGCTTTAATCGCGGCTCGGCAAACAATGAGGCGCAGCTCCGACTGAATCTCAATGCCTGGCAGCCATTGACGGGCCACAACAATTGGCTAATACTGCAGGCGACGACGGCAACAGACGTGCAACAACAGCAGCAGCAGCAACAGCAGCAGGGGCGACTTCCTGTCAATTACTACGCCTACAATCATCGGTATCAGGCGAGCGATTCGGCTGCCGCAAATGTTGCTGCCAGCGGAAATTACAAACAGGTGCGAGCGAATCTCAACGAGAGCCCCAGCTACGTGTGGGCCATAAGCCCCGCGCTGCGTCAATTGTCGCCGCCAAGTGCGCAGGATGTGCCGGAAGTGAGAGCGCGCCCCCAGCCGGAAGTGCGCCAAGCTGACAGCTACGCGACTCTCGCTAATGCACCTGATGAGGCCAACGAGCCCATCCTGGCAAGGCCCCCGTCAACAACTCTCCATATTAACAACTATTTGGCGGCATTCGAGCGAGCCGTGCTCAAAGTGCGCAACTTTTGTGACACTGTGCGTGAGCTTATCAGCGTGGAGGAGCCCGAGGTGGATGCGGCGCAGGAGCAGGAGCCGCAGCAGCAGCAGACCCAGCTAGGTAGGCCTTCCTCCGTGCTTCTCAACAGTATTTAGGCCTTACTCGCTCAGGCTGTGTGAAGAGTTTATAGGTTTTGTGCGCTGTCCGTCCGAAATAGAAATAGAAACTAAAGTCATGAAACTTGAATCAGATAAGGTCTGAAAATTAAAAGGCTATGCCTGCAGTGGGCGTGGCAAGTCATGAAAATTAAAAAAAATGCCTCAGTTATAATATTGAGAAAAAGGAAAAGTGCTCAACATTTTAGAAAATGTTCTTATGTCCAAAAACAGTGTATAATTTGGGATGAAAACAACTATATAGACCAAATCGATTGTGTCTGAATCTATTATTGGACGAGCATTGCACAGTCGGCTATACCCGACTGCAACACTCTTGGCTGTGTTTTTTTCGCTCAAAGGGCCGGCCACTTAATTAACTGAAAACCTGTGACGCTTTTCCTTACAGATGCCGAGTCCAGCAAATTGGCAGAAGCAGCAGCAATAACATCAAAGGAAGTTCAAGGCCGACACATTCGGCTGGCTGAGAGCTATCAGGGCCGCAAGCTAAAAAAGCTGAAGAAGAAAATTCAGAAGCTGCTGCTGCCGCTGCTCATTGCGTACAAACTAAAGTTTCTGACACTGATACCCGTTCTAATTGGCGGCCTGGTCCTGCTGGTGGGCACCACCGGGCTGGCCGGCTTCTTCTTTGCCCTATTTACGGCCGTAATGAGCCTCAAGACATCCACAGGTGGTGGTGGGCATTCCAGCAAAGCGATTGTCTTAAAGAAAATTTGAGGCCAACAGCGTTTGATTTAAGATTTTAGTTCCAGTTTCCTCTAATTAGCGCCCCGCCCTCGCCGCTGGGCCTCTGTTTTAAGCTTAAGCAGGCAGTTAAACGGCCAAACGGCGATGGGCTTGATTGATAATACACTTAAATTAGGTAATAACAACAAAACGGCCGCAGGAGACAAGTTAATCAGCTTCACGAAGTTTCTATACCCTAACTTTGGTTCAAATTGAATTGAATTGAAATTATTTAAGACAATAAAAAATAATGCATTTAATTGTGTAGTGTATTAAGTAGTTAGGGTATATATAGTCGACGCTTGCTAGCTAGCTTTGCTCACAAAAAAATTACATTAACATTTCAGCTTTTCAGCTTGATAAAATGGGATATGTTTGGACAGACAAAAATGCGGTCACACTCTTAAGTCTGATAACTTATTCAAACGTAAACATTCACAAAGAAAACATTCACAAATTCAGTTATTAGCAAAGCTAGCAAGTGAGCTAATAATTTATTATTTTTTTAGAAAATTCTAATTTTGCATTTTCTTAAATTTCTTTATGTTATTTGTTGGCGCAGCAAAGTGCGATTAAATGTTAAATTTAGCTATAATATTGCCAAAAGAATTTAATTATTATTATTATTATTATATATTATTTTCTTTTTTCCTTGTCTATTCGAATTTTTATTTAATATTTATATTTTTAATTATTATATTCTTTTTTGCTTGTCTGAATTTATATTTTATATTTATATTTTTAATTATTAAATTCTTTTTCCCTTGTCTGCTCGAATTTATATTGAATATTTTGTTTTCAATAACTTTTCGGCTTAAAATAATAATAAATTTAGTTTCTCCCAAGTAACCCCTACCCAGCAAACTAACTATATCTCAACTTAGTTAAGGTGTTAGCAACAACAACAACAAGAACAACAACAACGACAACAACAACACCCGGATGCTCAGAAAATCGCATTAACACTCAAGTGACGTTAAAAGCCTGAGCTGAGTTGCGACAAAGTCTGGTCATGATATGTGACGACAGCAGCGCGTTTGACGTTTGAGGCTTTGGAGCTTTTTTTAATATGCGTGGGCAGACCCTAAAAAACAGTTAACCGTTACATGCCTGGCACTGCGCTGCGGCGCACTCCAGTATTTCGACAGCCAATTGAAATTGTCTTCGGCAAGTTCGTTCGCACTCGAACAGCATTTAGTTCCGTTTACAAAACACATCAAAAACACACAATTTTCATTTTCATTTTGATTTTCATTTTCATTCATTTTTCTCTTAAGCCTACGCCTAATATGGCTATTTATGGCCGGCTTTTCACAATAATTATGCCAATTAAAATGTGTCCTCTGGCCCATAGCAATTTATTCAGCGCATATTTTCCATATAAACAAATTAGCTTCTACACTCAAAATAATTCTTATTAAGAAAAATTATCGTTAAATGAAAACTTCTCTAAGTTTTAGAAATTTCTCTTGTTTACAAAAGAAAAGAAATAAGAGAATGTGAAAATGGGAAAATTTTGTAAAATCCATAAAAATTTTAGACTTTCTTAAACTTAGAGTCATCTTTTTTTTGGAGTGTACAAAATTGATGTACCTGCTAAATATTTTGACGGCATATGCCTTGAATAATATTTTCATCAAGCTTCGGATTTGCGCATAATACTTATTAGCCGAATAATTAATAAGCGTCATTTAATTACGCAAATTTGCGACAGAAAATTAAGTTAATTTAGTTGGCGAATTTTGGACAACAACAAATTGTTGTTGCTTGTAATTGGCGACAGGTTTAATAATATTATGCATTTAAATAGTATTTAGCGTTTAAAACATGTTTTTTCGACTCATAAATAAAACGCGCTCTGACCCTTGAGTAGGCGACGGCTGTTGGCAAGGGAGGTGGTGGAGGGGGCGTGGCTGCAGCTCGCATTTCTCCACGGTTTAGAAATGGAAAAATGTAGCTTGCAAGTGTGCGAGTGTGTGTATGTGTGTGTGTGTGTGTGCAGCTAAAATGGCAAGTGAACCGCAACGCGCCAGCGTTAATAAAGAGTTTTTACTTGTTGATGCCATGGTAATAACACGGACAACAACAAATACAACAACAACAACAACAACTGCAACAATAGCAACAACAACAACAAATGTAAAACCGTTTATTAAAGTAGGGAAAACTTAACGTGTGCGTTCACGCTCAAGTAAAACTGAATCGAAAACCAGAACAGAAGAAAGCAAAAGAAACAAGTAAGAGTGTTCGAGTCGAATGACAGACTAGCAGATACCCTAAACCAATGTTATACACACATGAACTTTATGCTTCGATTGTGCTTCTTCTTGCCTCAGCAAGATACTATGGAAAATGGAAACTTGAATAACTTCGGTGCTTAGAGTCCGATCTGTATGACTTTTTCAGGGCTGAAAAAATGCAGACAAAAGGGTGTATATGCCAAATCATAAATGTATGCCTCCAAGGAAAAGTTTTTCTTTTCAATTTTAAGATATATTCATTATTATCTTATCAAAGAGTGCAGATATCCAGATAGATTGTGGATATAAGTAAAACTCTTATCTTTATAGGATAAGAAATAAGTCATAAAATTCCAACAGCTATTGTAGATATGTAGAAGAACCCACAAGCTAAGTTTAGTGTATCAGATAAGGTTAAGCATCGATTTTGATTACGTCGAAGCAGAGTCTGTTTCCAAGGAATTAAGACAGATCATCTGATCGACAACAGGAATCCAAATCATAAATCTCCAGCTAGTACACTCTTCTGAGTCAGACAAGGCCGCATCGACTCAGCTCGTTTGCTCATCAATATACCCCTTATTTGAGCGTTATCAATGGGTATGGGTATGTATACAAAATAGAACAAAGCACAGCAGCAGCACAGCAATCGGGGGCTATTAGCCACTTGGCCAGAACTGCAGCCCCGTCCAAATGCATTCGAGTGCAACGATGCAATGTGCGGGCGCATTAGCCAGTTACTTAGTTAGTTGCATCGGCTAGTTAGTTAACTTAGTTGCCTAAGCGAAGCGCTGCTGTGTAGAACTATATGCGGAATGCACTTGACTAAGCTACTGCTCTCCATATCCTGCCTCATGTGTCTGGCCGAGGCGCACAGCCTGCCGCCAGCGGTGCAGCTGGGCGGTGCAATAGTCGCTGCCGTCGAACAGGACGCCGAGCAGGAGGAGGCAGCCGCCACGGCGGAGCAGCGCTGGCTGCCGCTGGTCGAGCAGCAGCTGCGTCAGCTGCTCGGCAGCGAACTAAGCGCGGAGCAGCTGGCCAAGCTGCTGGACAACTGGACAACCGAAGGTAGGCAGCAGCAGCAGCCGCAGTTGGCCTCAATTTCCAGAGCCACAATTAATGCTTCCGTTCGCTCAGCTCGCGGCAAGAAGCACAAACAGAAGAAGCTGCTGAAGATGCTTTATCCGCTGCTGGGCGCCGCTGTGCTGGCCAAGTTAATACTGTTGCCCTTGATCTTGAAATGGCTGACGGCGCTCTCGGCCTCATCATTTGTCATGGGCAAAATAGCGCTCGCTGCCGCCGGCCTATTGGCCTTGAAGTCCATCATGAGCCCCGCACACGAACGGCTGGAGATTGTGCACGCCTCGGCGCCATCGCTGAAGAGCTATCATGGGGATCTCTCCTCGAGTGGCACCAGCTGGATGCCACTTAGGCAGCACTACATACCGCTGGGCGTGGCCAAGGCGCAGGCCAACTATGACAACAAGCCTTTTTTATAGACGAAGTCTTGTGGCGCGTTATGTTAGTTAGTAAGTCTTAGCCGAGTCTAAGTAAGTCTAAGCCGAGTCTTAGTAAGTCTAAGCCGAGTCTAAGTAAGTCTTAGCCGAGTCTTAGTAAGTCTTAGCTGAAAGCTGGTTTAAATTATTAATTAAAATGTTTATTTACCACGAACCGCATTTTAATTGGATTTAGTCGAGCCTTAAAACCTTAAAGAATCTATAAAAAAAACGTATATAAAGTTCATCAATTTCTATTAATTAAAACGGAGCTTGAACCAAACCGCTTTGAGGCCGGAATTTTCATTTATTTTCTTAGCCACGATAAGTTGGATAAAAAAGAAGTCGAAGCTGAACCGAACCGTGCATTCGTATTCTATAAAAACGTTTCTTTTTTTTTTACTGTTTAAACATATTGTTGCAACTACTCTTAACCAATATGAAGAAATTAAATAAAATGTTAATTAAATTAGTTAACTATAATTTGATTTAATTTACGATAAATGAAATAGTTCTAGCACTTTGGCGAAGTAAGGCTTGAACCCTAGTCGCGGTTCACAGAGCTGTTGAGCCCTTAACCAAGTCACAGAAAAAGTTTGGCTTGTCTTTGCCAATAGGCCGAAAAAAAGCCAAATAACTGCGGCTGCGACTGCCTCCATTCACAATTAATTAGCACATGCACGAGCCGGGCCCGGGCAAATGGTGTTACGTGGACCCAAAGTCAGGTCGAACAAGGCGTCAACGCGTCAATGCGTCAGTGCGTCAATGCGTGCACAGAGCCGTTATGCATAAAAACGGTTTATTGCGCATGCGCGACGACTTGGCCAAGACGCGACGGCCTCGGCCGCGACGAACTTCCGCAAATGCCGTGTTGCAATCCAAGTAAACGTGGTGCTTATGTAAAAGCCAAGCAGAGTCAATAAACAGGTCGTCACAAATCAATCAGCATGCAGCAGATGCAGTCAACAACAACACATCGTCGTCGTCGTCGTCGTCGTCGTCTTGGGTGGCTCCGCGGCGAGGGTCGCTTGCAGAGTTTTTACCTACTATGCCTACACCTGGCTTACTCTGTAGCTAATTACTTTATGTAAGCACTGGAGAGAAGCGAAAAAAGAAAAAGAAACGGAGAAGAAGAACTGAAAGTTATCCAACAGACGACCGAGAATGCCCCCGCGAGTCATGGACTGTGGCTATACGTAGCTGCGCGGCTGCGACGGCCTCAGCTTGCGCCACACAAGTGAAAGTTGTAGGGCGCACAGTTTATGGTAAAAACACACGCACACACACTCGCACACACTCACACACTTGCACACTCGCGCACACTCAAAGCCAACACACAATTGCAGGCTGTTTAACGCCGACAACAAAGTCGCATGCTAGCCGCATATCTAAAAAATCGATCAACAAGGCGTCGCCTCTGTCTTGGCCGCATCTTCTTTCTAGGTAACAAAACAAGTGACAGTGCTCTAGTCGAGACTACGCTCGACTAGATGATACCCTGTTCTGCATATATTCGTGAAATTATTTCTAAATAAATTCTCTCTCATCTAATGTTGATCACGACAGCTTGAAGCTCTTATTAAGTGGAAATCGATATTTATCGGACTTGTATTCAGCGGCGATAAATGGGCTTTTTTTATGCAAATGTATATAACAGGCAGAAACATCTTCGATATATTTGCTTGATCAGAACGAAGAGGTAAGTTCTAGATCCATGTCTATCCATCCGCATATCTACCCGTCTGTGTAAACAAATCGATCTCAGCAACTAAAAAAGATACTTCATATTTCATGTTCAGTTTCTCTCATTTTTTCAATATCTTCTCCCATTTGCATAATATCGATAAATATCGATTGTGAGACTTTGTTTTTAAACATATATTTAAATAAATATTTTAGCGTGGCGTACGTACGTTCTCGTATAGAATATACAGATTACAAACATTCGACTTTGTTTAAGATGAAGAGCTTTTGCCAGCATAGAAAGAGACGTCTGTTACGAGTTGCCTGAAGCAATCAGAATACCCTCAGCTGGAAATAGCAAAAAGTGTTGGTAGTTAAGCTGCAGGCGGGTGCTGTCACATTGTGAGTTTTATCATCTCTGTCGCATCTAAGTCTGTTGGGTTGACAACATTCTCGGCGGACGCTTCGATGAGTGCGCAATGTTTGCGACTCTCACGAGATTACCTAACCAGACCATTTAGCATAGATGCGACACGAACAAGAGGCGAAACAAAAACTCTAACTTCGGCTTGAAGTATTTGTTGTTTGAGCATTTGTGTCATCAATTTCACTTTCTTTGAGGCTTGAGCAAATGGCTTAAGTTAAACAACGCATTCGCATTGTATGGCTGGGCCCTTGGCCTGGCCCTGTGAAAGCGTGTGCGCGTCCCACAGGCGCACAATTTATGGATTTGGTCAGGAAATGTGCGCACATTGGGTTTGGGGCCAATTGCTTAACCAACATTTGGCCACAATGTCAACGGCAAAGTGTATTGAATTTGTTTGGCTGTTCGGGCAAAGTGCCCATGAATTTTTCAATAGCCCAAACCCTAAAAAAGAAAAAAGGTCTCTTCTCCATGCAAGAAGTTAACGCTGCACTTTCTCAGACGGCGACGTCTACGCACAATATTGACAATTCATATTTGCGCAAATGAAAAGAAAATCAATTTCACCTCTCGGTATTTACGCGTTTAACCCAAAAACCTACCAAAACTCTGCTTCTTTTTCAGTTTTTTTCTTTTTCTTTCTGCTGCTGCTGCTGCCACTCGCTACTTTTAGCTTCTTTTTTTCGTTATATATGATAGCGGGCGGTGGGCGGGGGCCACACCTTTTACCTAATATAGTAGAAGTTTTTTATGCTTATAAAAGGTAAACATTTAAGCTGAGTAGCGTAGAGTTTCAAAGGAAAATGTAATGTAAACTGGCAGCAAATTGTGTGTACATTATCAATCATCTAACTTATTGATATTGCATAAATATTTATTGCATGGCTAGGCGAGCCTTCAAAAGAACCTGAGCCAAGACACGAAAAGTTCTTAACAATGTTTGCAAATGTACAGATAGAATGTATATCAACTATTATATAATGCTGCTTTCTGATACATAAAGTTGGTCTTGAAAAACCCTTTTTGTTTTAGCATCATACCTAGATGTTCAATAACTCTATAGACAAGCATTAATAATTATTAATTACAATTTAGCCTCTTTTATATTTGTAAAATCCAATATACATATATATATTTATTATTATAATTATAGTCGTCAATATATTATAATTACAATTATATTGTTTCAATGTGTATTGCTACACTTATTTTAATATATTAATCATTATTATACTCGACTTTATATTATAATATATAAGCTAATTATAATTATTAAGAATTAAATAAAGTATATTGAACGGATTTTGACAACCTTTCCATTTATATCAAAATAATTAGTTAGCTGACTCGAGTCTGGATCAGTTCTAATATTTCATACTATATATAATTATATTCAAATAAAATCAACCATTAAAATTATCCAGAAGCTTTAATAAATATAACTATAATTGATATACATCGTCCAATCAATATCAACCTTTAAATTAAAAGCAGTTCGGAATTGAGAAAAATACGTGTTCTAAGCAATTCATTTTTACTCTTAAAAGTCTGCTGATTGTTCTCAAAATACGATGATATATGTATGTATATATATAAATATTTATCATAATAAAAATAGGTGCTAAAATCAAAAGCTCAAAGATCATAAGTTATGACAAATAAGAACGTTTGCATACTGTTCGCCCAGCTCTTCCTCTTGCCCTGTATTTTTGGTATGCCAAAAATGGTGTATATGTGTTTGTATTTTGTGTGCATGCAAACACGCAAATGGGTCAATAGAACGCACGCTGACTGCCTTCAGACACCCCGGACAGCGTTGCCAACTTCAGCTGCAAAATGTGTCTGGCTAATTCCAAAAGTAAACTTGGCAGCAACAACAAAGACGTGTACAGCATGGCCCTTGCTCGACTAGCAGGCTACCCTGTTTGCAGAAAATCGACATAAACAATCTACATTTGCCAATTGAATATAATTAAGACAGGGTATTTTATGGCTATTAACTTGATTATAAAACTGGGTATTTTACTTATTACTTATATTTAAATTATTTGTGGAAATTGTAAATTTTCTACTATGAAATAATATATTTTATACACATAGCATAATATCTATATACAAAATATAATATAGATAAAAATTTAATTAAATCAATGAGTTGTCTCTAACTGTTACAAGACGAGTGAGCAGCCATTCGGCCCTTGTTTGTCTTTAAGCAACCCACACGCTGCGTCTACAGGGTATTTATATTGCGACTAATATAAAGCTGACCACACCCACGACGAAAGTATGCGGGCCAATTTGTTTATGGCCACTTGTTGCGGCTAATTGAGTGACGCGAGTCAACAAATTGCACACGATATGAGGCTTATGAATTTTGTATATGCACAACAATATATATACTATATAGAAATATCTGGCTGACAGATTTGGCAAGGGCCGCGTTAAGGCCATTTGTTGGGCTGCGTCGATGAGAGTAAAAGGGTTAGCAACAGCTGTCAAAAGCTGTGCTGGCCAAAAAAGAGAAACTTATATATATGATTGGCATTTAGAAATCCCATTTGATTTGACATTTAACTGAACAATTGATAACTGCGTTACACACAATACACATTTTGTGATACCCTAAACCCAATTCAAATGCAGAAAGAGGGTAGAATGAGTTTGTGCAAGTGTTTTGTAACAGATAGAAGGAAGCATTTACAAGCTCATAACGAAGATATTTGCTTGATCAGGATGACAAAAGCTAGAGAGTTCCAGATTGAGTTATATATTCTCGCAGATCGATTTTATCATATCTTCGATATTATCTTCCTTTTTCTTTACATGAGAAAAGTCTACTTTGATCACCCCAAATAGATATATAGCCTTTCGCCTTGGTATACTTTTGTCTGCCATATTTAAGCACAACAAATTTCATTTTAATCGGACTTTAGGCACCGATTAATAATGTAAAGCAAAGAGAAGAAGAAGCAAGCAGGGTATGTATATACCGAAGGAAGCTCGGAGATGGGCTCGGAGTATGTCCTAGTCGAGCACTCCCGACTGGAGCACTCTATATTGTTTACGCTGCTTTTTTTTTTTTGTTGCGGCAGGAACCGGCGAAATCAGGTTTTTGGTGGCCATTGCAAATTGCAAAATTCACAGAAAATTACATAACTTTCACTCACGCTTAAGCGGCGTCAATGAATGAATGCGCAAAACTGGACCGCAAGCTAAGCAGCAGCTGAGTGTATAAAAGGGGAGAGGGGGGGGGGGGATGGAGGGGGCTGCGACAGGGGTCAGCCATTGGCAGGTGAGCTATCATCAATGAATGCGCGTAGAGCCGGCTCAGGTGTGTGGCAACTGATGAAATATTTGGCGTGCCTCCAGCTGCAGCTATGCAAATGAGGCGCAACAGGTGAATCACTGGACAAACCCGCAACAAGCATGGGGTATATATATACATACTACATACATATTGTGGGGTATGTGTGGGGTATGCCTAGCGCACTTTCTTTTTTGCGTTTACTCATGTTGCGGTAGTTGTTGTTGTCGGGTTTTAGGCAGCTAAAACAATAACCGAAAATAAAGGCGCGTCACTCATACGCAGCGTGTGACAAGCCGACGCCCGTGGGCTCAGCCAAATCCACAGAGCAACAACAGCAACAACAACAACATCATCAATAACAACAACAACAACTACTTCGTTTAGTGTCGCATATCGTTGTAATATAAATGAAAGTGAGTGAATTGAGACTTTTATGCTTTTTTGTTTATTTTTGGATTTTGTTTTTGAATGGCTCGGCTTTAATAAGGTTTAATAAAAAATAACAAAACGACAATATACAAATTGTGCTATTTCGATTTTTTATTGACGGCATTTTGTCTGAAACTTGAAAGATTTAATTCATTTTAGCTCTACGCCGGAGAAATGTCGGAATGTCTGCATGCGTGTGAGCGCAAAAAACGTGACTGGGAAAACATCGATGATGAATCAGTTGAAAACGTGTTTGAGCGCATGTCAATTAAATATGCAAAACTAACAATAAAGTCTTTCAATCTTAAGTGAATTAAGGCAGCTGTCAAATCAGAACTTAACGAATGCTAATTATTTCTAGAGATTCCGAAATTGTATTTCAAATTTACGCTTGATAGTTATACATAAGCTCGTCTCAGGAGAGTTTGGACCAGAATCGTTCTTAGTGTGACCAGGCGCTTAAAATCATTCCCAATTTACGTTTATTAACACCTATTCTGATTCAACTGAGGCAATTAGTTCATTAACAGTGTTGATAAGTTCTAAGAGAGTGTAGTATTGATTGTATCTAAAGAGTTCGTTAGACCGTTGGCATATAATAAAAACTGTTTTTTGCAGATATTTAAAAAACCATTTAAATAATAATAATAAATAATAACAAAATTAAAAAAATATATAAAAATATAGAATGATAATTTAACAGTTATTTGAAATATAGAGGTTAATCTTAAATGTTAAACAAATTATTAACTCTATAAAATTTTGTATGTATACATACGAGGAGTGTAAGTACTCGTAGACTTTTAATGATTGGAAGTAGAGACAAAATAAGCATAATTTATATTGTCTTTGGTTAAAGCGAGTGTGGAACAGTTGCAGCTGCCATATACCACAGAATTTACCCCTGGATTTAATTATCATAGTAAATTCTGGTGTAATACCAGATATAAATTGAATATAAAATTAGAAAAGATGTCTGTAACATAACTGAAACTTCTGCATGGCAAAGAGCGCAAATTCCATTCAAGTATCTAAACTCAAGCGATGTTAATCAATTATATCAGCTGCCAATTGCGTATGATTATCACCTGGCCAAATCATTATACACCTGCCGTTGCAACATGGCCCAAAGTAGCTGATGATCATAAGAGGTGCTAAACAATCTTTCGCCACGGCAAAAGGGCAAACAGTAGATGACCCATTTCGGCGGAGCCCGAACGTAAATGGCGCAGGCTCGAAATATGCAGCAACCGGATCAATAAATTAGCAAATATCTGTGTGTTACGCGAGTCGAATGAAAGCGGACCCCGAACGCGAGAGAGAGAGGGGCGAGATATATGTGCCATAATTGCCCGAGTCCATGTCGGGGCCCCCCTCCCCTCCCCCCCCCACAATGATGCCAATTGTTTGCACTTTGCCGGCGCCGCTCTTCGAGCGATCCAGCCACGCGCTTCGCTCGCTCCACTGGCCAAGTCCAAGTACAAGTTTCTCTCCGGCAAAGCTCAAGCTGACGTCGACGCCGACGTCAGCCGCGACTGCGACGCTGACGAATAAAGCAGTCAGCGCGGGCAGAAGAAATGAGCATATTCACTTAACAAACAAGTTGACTTTATTTTTTAGTGTTTTTTTGTCTTCTTTTTTTATGTTTTTTGGGGCCGTTGCTGTTGTTGTTGTTTCTGTTCCCTAGATTTATGCATGTGCTCGGTGCCTTTTTTTTCGCGTCTTTACCTTTTTTGGTAGCTTCCGCAGTTGACGGCAGCTGCGACTGCGGCTGCGCCTTGGCTTGGCTTGGTTTTTTATTTAATTTACTTTTAAATTGTTTTGTAACGCCGGCGCCGTCGACGTCGACTGCGCAGCAGCTGCCAGAAAAGCTGCCCAATATAAAAGGCTAGACGTCCGCAGAGCTATGCATCAAATTCATCTCGAGCTCAGCAGCAGCAGCAGCAGCAGCCAGTCAGCAGCTAAGGATTAAAAGCGCGCCGCGTGAAAATATATCTAAAGAAAACTGAAATCAATTCTCGAAAATGAAAGTGTTTTCCATTGCCTGTGTGTGCCTCTTGGCGGCCAGCTGTGCCTGGGCCGCGCCCGGTGTGCAAGATAATCGAATCGAAAGTGATAACACGCTCGGCCGGGCCGCCCGCTACCTGGGCGCCTGCTTTGAGAGCGACGACATGGCCACCTGTTTGGCGGTCAAGGGCATTACCGCATTGAACCGCGCCGCCAGGAGCAACAACATTGAGCTAATCAATGGCGTCACCTTCCAGAGGTGTGTGTGCAAGTGTGCGAGTGTGTGAAAGTGAACTTTAGTGAATGGAACTTTTGTGATTTTTTTCAAATACGAGCTGCGTTCTAAGTTGCGTTTCCGTTGCAGAGATCCCGCCAGCCCGGTGCAGCGCAGCGGCAAGTCCCTCAGCGAGCAGGACATCTACGCGGAGCTGCCACAGAACGGGGAGGAGCGCAACAGCCGCCTGGTGGATCTGGCCATAAGCAGCGCCACCGACTTCCTGAGCAGCCACAACTTGGAATTCAAATTGCCCGCCGAGACCACACAGCAGGTGGCACGTGCTTTGGATGAAGGTACTTCCCACATTCCCCTTCATTTAAAAGAGCTCCTCTCCTCACTCTCTCCCTCTCTCTCTCTCTCTCTCTCTGCTCTATTTGCAGGCCGCGGCAAGATCAAGAAGATGATTGGACCCATTGCCCTGGCCATTGGCGCCAAGCTGTTCGCCGTCATACCGCTGGTGCTCGGCTTCCTGGCTCTGCTGACCTTCAAGGCTGTGGTCGTGGCCAAGATCGCCTTCTTCCTGGCCATACTGGTCGGCGGCTCGCGTCTGCTGAGCGGCTTTGGCAACAAGTTCGGCGGCGCCGGCATCGGCAGCTCCTATGGCGGCTACAACTCGAACGCCTGGTCTGCGCCCGCTAGCGCCGGCTGGAGCTCGGGCTCCTCCTCGGCGTATCCCTATGCGCGCAGCATTACCGCCGACAATGCCCAGGAGCTGGCCTATGCCGGCCAGCAGCAGCAGCAAGAGCAGCAGCAAGAGCAGCAGCAGCAGCAGGAGCTGGAGCAGCAGCAGTAAGCCTTTGGCGAATGTGGCTGCATTTGGTAGCCAGAAATGTGCCTTTTTAAATTTGAGAAAGAACTTAGCTTGTAGTAATTTATTCGAGACGTGTAGCTGACGCGTAATTAACTGTTTAATTTATTTAATTAATTTCACATTACACAACACTGTACAAGATGCACGACACAACACTGTACAACACAACATCAGCTAAAGAGTCATGACAATAAAATCGATTTATAACTTAAACTTGGCCCAATCTTGGCCAGCATTTTGACCTCTAATTGCAGCCCAGAACTTTCCCAGAAGACTTTCCCAGGCAACAACAACTGGTTGGTGTCACAAAATAAGTATATACATGTGCACGTGTGCACGTGTGTGTGTGTGTGTGAGTGTGTGAGTGCGTTTGACACTCGACACTTGCGACAACAAGTTTTGCGGGCATTAAAGAAAACTTTTGGCCAGTTCTCGAGCTGGTGGAGCACAAACAGCCAAATTGATATAGAAATGTTTGTGTACACGAAATACATATTTTGGATTTGGTTTTGGCATATGCCACGCATATCATAACTGAAATATTCCATGCCTGGGCATGGGCATGGGCATGGGCATGGGGGCATGTTAATTGTCGACTTTCTACTTATGCGCATAAAAAAGCGATCGGTTCGAGATATTTGTTAATGCGTGCATGTGGCGACAATTTAGCTTTCTATTGCGCAGATTTGTAAAAGATTTAGAAGCAATTGAAATAGAAAACGGCCAGAAAACGGCGGGCAGACACCTGACTAAAAGAGAATGAAATCGAAAGCGGGCGTTGAAAGCGCGTCTCTAACTGGGCCAAAACGCGCATTAAGCCAGCTGCTGCTGCTGGCGCGGCATACCAAATATGGCCTGGAACTGCGCTGCCAACTAATAATCGCGTTTAATGAAATTCAATGGCATGGCTAATGAGAGACCGGCAAAGAATCTGTGGTACATCACCAAATGGGAGTCACGTTCCTTTCGGGGCGTGGCTGTTGCATGCCAATTACGATCGGCTAACGGTGAGACGAGCACTTGCCCCTTTACCAAGCCCAAACACAATTGGGGCATTTGCTTATATAAAATATATATGCGCACATACAAAAATAATATTCAAGCCGTTCGGCGACTTCCCTTTCGTTTGCACGTGGGACGTGCCCGAAAATATGGTCAAGAAATGTTTTTTTGGTGGGTGCCCAATTGGCCATTGGCTTTCTGGCTCGAAGTGGCATACGCATAAAATTTGCATAAATTGTTGTTGCTGTTGTTGTTTTTGTTGCAGCAGTGCTGCGTTTTGTTTGGTTTTTTTGGCCCGCGATTTCTAGCCACCAAATTGGACGAGACCGAGCCGGAGCTGGAGTCGTAGCCCGCGGCACGCGTTGCCATCGAAAAAGTATAAAACCGCGGCCCATTGCATTCAATTAATCACAAAGCAATTTCCATTCACAAGGCCAACAGCAGTGTGTGTGCGCTGAACGCTGTGCTTAGCCAAGGACTATCCAATAAAAACCAACCATAATTAAATACTCTACTCTATCAAAAAAACTAAACAAAAATATATATAAATATGTGCGCGAAATTCGTTTGTGTGGTGCTCGTGGCGAGCTTTGTGTGCGGCGCTCTGGCCCTGCCCTCGCAGGACAGCAGCGAAAAGGATTTAGTGAATATGCTCAACCGGCTGGATAACGAGGAGTCGGTGCCATTGTTCGGCGGACTGCGCATCGATCGCAGCGAAACGGGTCGCAGCTTCGGCTCGGCCAAGGGCCTCGAATCGTTCGAGGATCGGGCCGAGCGCTATCTGGAAACGCACGAGCTGAATCTCGCGTTCTCCGGCGATGAGCAGGACGAGAATGCCGACAATGTCTACAGCGGACGTGCCATGGAGGGTGAGTCAAGCCGTCGCCTTTTCGCACGCCTCGAGCATACGAAATCAGTTAACTTTCACTCGAGCTGTTGTTGCCAATGCGATTGACAGTCGGATTTGCTGTTGCAAGCTGCCCCTCGGCCCTCGGCCTGTCCGGGCGCTTGCTGCAGGAAATTGCGCATACGCCTCGTGCACCCAAGTGCTGGCTGACTGATTTCACGGCTCGTGTTGCATACTTTGTGGCAGCGCCTGAAGGCAACACTTCAGTCGGCTGGCTTTGCATACTTTTGCGCCGCATTCTTAATTACAATTCGGTTTCCCATTTCGCCCCATCCCCCGTCCACTAACAGAATCGCGCAGCAAGCGCATGAAGAAAATGCTGCTGCCACTGCTGTTGATTTTGAAACTGAAGAAGGCCATCGTTGTGAAGATCATGTTCACCATCATCAAGTTCATCTCGCTGAAGGCTCTGGCCATCTCCTTCCTTGCCCTCATTCTGGCTGGTAAGTGTCTAGCAACATATATAAAGATGGCTTGTTTTATTTACTTCCATCCGTTTGCCGCAGGTGCCACCTTCTTCAAGGATCTGTTGGCCAAGAAGAAGGATCACATCACCACCGCCTACATCACCGGCAGCCCCCTGAACGCCGAGATTGTGCACTCCGACTGGAACCGCAACGGTCAGGCCAGCGCCGCCGACTTGGCCTATAACCATTACGGTCTGGCTCAGCCCTTCTAAGCTGCCAAGCAACACAGATAGTAGCTACCTTCCACTTCCACTTCTACTTCCACTCTCACTCTCACTCTCACCCAAGAACTTTCCATTTCCTCGCTTACCTTAACCCTATTTTCCACCCCTCTCAAGAGACTTAATCTTCCACATGGCTAAATTCGTTGTAGTGTTGTAGTCAATAATTATTTAGTTGTACTTAGTTAGTTAGCTGCGACATACCAAAAAAAAAAAAAAAGAAAACTTTAAGAGAAAAAGCAAAACATATAAAAATCAACGATGACAACCGAATTTCAATGACGACTTGGTTAGCTCAGGATAACGCACACGGATCACACACATAATGCTTGCGCCATATTTATTGCACAATCAAACATGCTCTCTAAGCAGACATGCAGCTCAGGTTCATAAATGAAAGTTAATTGAAAACTAAGAAAAAAAATCACAAAAAAAAAACAAAGAAAAGAAAACGATATGTTAGCAAGAAATTCTTATGTCTGCTAAAGAGTTTACTTACTAAGTATTTATTTATAATAATTTATAGCAATTGAATAAAAATGATTCATGAAATTCAACTTATTTGCACATTAATCAGGGCGGGAAATTAAAGGAATTATTATTATTGTTATTATTATTATTATTATTATTATTATTATTATTATTATTATTATTATTATTATTATTATTATTATTATTATTATTATTATTATTATTATTATTATTATTATTATTATTATTATTATTATTATTATTATTATTATTATTATTATTATTATTATTATTATTATTTTTGTATTTTTTTTATTATTTATCATTTTATATTTAACATTGATCGTCTATCATTTTTTATTTATCATTGATCGTCCATAATTTTTTATTTATCATTGATCATTTACCAGCTATCAGCTATCACTTATCACATATCACTTATCACTTATAGTTATCAGTTATCAGTTATCACTTATCAGTTATCAATTATCAATTATCACTGATCAGTTATCAATTATCCGTTATCATTATCATTATCATTATCGTAATCATTATCATTATCATTATTATTATCATTATTATTATCATTATTATTATCATTATCGTTATCATTATCATTATCATTATCATTATCATTACCATTATCATTTCCATTATCATTAGCTTTAGCATTTGCATTAGCATTATCATTATCATTATCATTATCATTATCATCAGCTTCATCATTATCATTATTATTATTATCATTATGATTATGAGCACAAAATCCACGCCCGACGAGGGAGACTTAATTCTACGTTCAGTTCCATTCGTGAGTCAACAGTTAACCATCCCAGCTACCAAATATAGCCACATTAAAATGATATTAGTTAGCTGATCCAACTTGGCTAAAAGAGACATTGTATGTTTCTAGTTATAAATTAATGAATGTACTTTGTTTGAGGCACGCGACTTTTATCTACCCCATAATTATGTAGGTATTTGTGAGTTTTCATTTTAGCTCAGAAAATTCATTAAGATGGGGGCAGACTCTCCTAAGAGAGGGTCTTGGTGACAAAAATTAGCCGCACGTTGCGCTACGCTGAGCGCCGTGGCAGAGAGAGGAAAGCGAAAGTGCCGCCCAGTTGGCCAGTTGCCCAGTTAGTTGGACGCAGTTGAAAGACTCTGGGAAGAATTTCGACCACAAATCGTCGGGTAATTAGAAAAAGTCCAAGACAGCGGCCAAACTAAACGCGGCAATGACTTTTGGGTGCTGTGCGTAGTGAAAGGGAAATGGGTATAAAAGGCGAAACCATAAAAATGAGCTGCTGCAGTCGCTCAAGAGTTCCACAAATCATTGGACATACCATAGCCAAACAGCATGTTGTTGCTCAAGACCTTGGAGTATTTGTTTTATCTGGCCTGGTTCTGTTTCCTATGCCAATATGCCGAAGCAGCCAGCGTACAGCCCACTGCAGCGGCTTCCCAAGTGCAAATGGAGACGCAGCCACCAACCCAAAGGCAGCCAACAATGAGTCCAAATGAGTGTGAGACATCTACATTCAGTTGGATGTGCCTGAAAATCGAGTTTGTCAAGATCATGGAACGTCTGGCCGAGCAGCAGGAACTGAAACTGCTGCCGGGCGTGAGTGTGGTCAAGGATGAGAATGCCACAGAACTAAAGACTTCCGAACTAATGGCCGGTAAGTCAGGTCTTAGCTTTGATTGAGACGAGCAGAAATGGTTAAAAAAAGCAATATTCCCAACAAACTATAGTAGTCCGATTTGATAAGCTCTTGCTAATACATTAGGCGAATATTAAGGCTATAAAAAACTTGCCTATCGATACTGATAAAGAATATATATATAAAATGTATGGGGTGTGAAACATCTCGCTCTATCAGTTATGCATTTTGTGGCCAATTTATAGGGTATATTAATCATATTAATCATTTCCATTTCCGCAGAGGTTGCACGCAGCTATCCCAGCGATCCGCATACGCGTCTCAATGGTTATATTATGGCCAAGTTGGAGAATCTATTGAAGACGCGCGTGCTGCGCTTTCGCCTGCTGGACGAGACGAGTCTAGAGGAGGGTCGCAAGCACAAATTTGGCAAAAAGGGCGGCATGGAGGCGCTCCTTGCCGTCGGCCTCATGATGAAGGGCATGCTGATGGCGCTGGGCATGGGCGCGATCGCCATGATGGCCGGCAAGGCGCTGATGACGGCGCTGATGGCGCTAACGCTGAGCGGCGTGCTCGGCCTGAAGAGCTTGGCCGGCGGCGGCGGCAAGTCGACAACATATGAGATTGTGGCCAAGCCCGTCTACACGTCCAGCCACTCGCATTCGGTCAGTCACGAGGATGGACATGGACACAGTCCGCACTTTGCAGCCGCAGCCGGTGGCAGCGGCAGCGGCTATGGCTATGGCGGCTATGCGCGTTCGCTCCACCTGCCGCAGCCCAGCCAGCTGCAGGTGTTGTAATTTAAATATTTCTAATAATTATTTATATTATTTATCAAATTATTTATTGTATTTAACTGAATTGAAGCACGAAAAAAAACTAACAAATGAGTAACAAGAAACTAATGAAAAGCCATTTTTCCTTCCTTTTTTTAACGTGAATCGAAACTGGAAAAAAACTGAGAAATCCAAGCTGAACCAAGTTGTGATTGATGTATGATAAATATATTTAGATAAATATATATAAATATATTTATATATGCAGCCAATTGTTTTGGAGATGTCTTCGACACATTTTGTGTAAAACTAAAGCGACCCTCTGTGAAAGGAATTTATTCTCGGTAGTGCGACAAATCGATGCTCATAATTCAATTCGATTTAAGTAGCCGGCGCATTATTTTTTTTTTATAGTTAGTTTCCATCAGACTAGTTGCCGTTCTTGCTTTCAAATGTTTAAGTTGCTGCTCTGCACGTATTTGCTACACATGCTTCTAGTCCTTGCCAATGGCGACGAAAGTGCGGACACAGGTAAAAACTGAGCCAAAACACTTTTATCGTGCTCAAGTAGCGGATTTTGTTCTCAGTTTGCGATGACATGGGCCTCTGCTCAAGTAACTGCGGAGTGGAAATTGATAGCGCGACGCCGTGTCCAGACCAAATGAAATGTTGCTTGGGATTTCGATAGTGTTGGGATATATTTTATGCATCATATGTTTATCAATAATAATAAAATCCAAATGAGCTGCTATACACAAATGGTTTTTCTTAAATTACAATTCTGTAATTAGAGACAGTCAATTAATCAAATTCGCCACGCTCCAATGGAAATAGAAAGTGTTTCACCTACAGCTACAAATTTGAACAAATTCCATTTCATGTACAATAACTGGATCCAGTTTTTAACTCCCCAGATATACATATCTTAGGTTGATATGTAACATATATATATATATAATATCTTATGATATATTCATATATATTGAGGAATATTTTATATTCAGTCGTAGGACAAGAATTTTAACACCTCAATTCCAACATTTTTAGTAAAGTGCAAAATAAATCGATTTGTATTGGAATGTTCCATAAATCTTAGCACGGATATATATGATATGTATAATTAAATTAAAGTTCACAATATTTGGATTATATTGACAATTTTGCAACGCGCCGTATGACTAGAATAATACTCAAACGTGTATTTCTACACAATATTGAATATGGTTATCTGTTGTAATATTTTAAATGAATCAATTATTTAATTTTTAAGATAGTGTGACAATTTTATTAACAGATTTAACGCGGTCAATAGACCGTAGAATATAGTTCTGCACGTGTGAATGGTAAATTAGCGAATTCACAAATGTTTAGTTTCTCTTCTAACCTAATTTAAGGCAAGATTGATTTTTGTCATAAAAGGCGCGGAACGGGCACTGGAAGATCAGTTGTTTCATAGCCCAGTACAATGAAGGCGCATTACAGTGGTAAGAAATAAAGAAAACTTTAGTTAAAACTTTCAAGTAACTAGCAATTCCTTTGCAGTGGTATTCCTGGCGCTGTGCACAGCCTGGATTTGCATGGCAAATCCGACAGTTGTTCCGGCTGGGTCAGATGGAGCTGCAACTGCAACGGCGGCAGGCAAGGCGGAACCCATTACGTTGGAGGTGTTGGTCGAGCAGGATCCAGAGTTAAAGCAAGCACCTATAACAATCGAGGAACTAGAAGACGAACTGTCTAGGGAGCTGGATTACGACAATGAAATAGAGCCAGAGCCAGAGATCCGCCCGACAAAGAGACCCAAACCCACTAAAGCACATAACAAACGGCCGCCCCCGCATCATCATCAGCATCCACAACCGATGTCCGATCCCATGCCATACTACGTCGCACCAGCTCCAATGCCCTATTCCATGCCATATCCCATGACATATTCCACGCCCATGACATATTCCCAGTGCCCCTACAACCAGCCGCCGTTTTCGCCTTATCCAGCGCCAATGTATCCACCGCCGTATCCATTCCCGGGCTACAGTCCGAATCCGTATTTCGCACAGCCCACCGGCTTGAAGTCCGTGGACCCCACGGACACCACAGAAGTTGTTAACGTGGAGCAACTGCTCAAGTTTGCCAAGTTTGCCAAGGTCTGGAATAATAATGCCGCAGCTACTAATGCTACTAATACTACCACAGTGATCACTACTGCCGCAAAGCCACCAAAGCGCTTCCTTATCAAGAACTGGATAAGAAACAAGATAAACAGCAAAACAACAACTACCACTACCACAACCACAACCACGGTTCCGCCGTCGACTTAGAGCTTCTCCATTATATCGAAAAATTTCCATAGAACAAATATCTGTTTATCATTCTATCAATGTGCACCACGCCTATTTATTTATTTATTTATTTATTTATTTATTTATGTTTGATTATATACAAATAAAGCAAAATTCATAACACTTATAATATTTATAATATCCCTTACTTTGTTGTATATGAATATTGATAATATTTTAGAAAATAAATTTCCTAAAGTTTATATTCGAAGAAAATGGTTTTGAAAGAAAACTATGCGTTATAGATACAAATCATGTCCTGGATCTGCACAGGATAAAATTCTAATGTCAAAAATTGCAAAACTATAACCTTGATAGGAACAGACGAATATTTCGGATCAGCATACTCTGAGAAAATACACACCTCGCTACTCAATCAACAAATATATATATAAATAATCAATAATAAATAATAAATAAATAAATAATATACAAATATATTTTAATTAGATTTGTTAGTTCCCGTCTGTAGTCCATGTCCATGTATTTTATTTTATTATCTTTGCCTTTTTATTTGCGATTAAATAGCAAGTTAAGTAAATAAATATAATTGATAATTTGAACCGGCGACCCCTCGTTTCCTAGCCCGACGCTCAGACAACGAAGCCAGCTGGCGTCACGTTCGCTGAGCAAGCTTCGGCTGCAATTTCCCCTACTTAAAGAATATTCAATAAAAGTTTCACTTGCATACATTGAAGTTCAATAAATTTGATAGCAAAAGATACATAAGTATATAGTCATACATATTTTCGATAAGTTAGCTTGCAAGTTGATAACTCTGTCGTTAATGTATCTATTAAAATAGGTGTTAATCTATGACTTCTTTGTGTCTTCATTTCGTAAGAGTTCGAATATAAAGCAAAACCTTAATGTAATAACAAATTCGACAACTCTTTAACCGTAGATCATGATTACAAAGTCTAAATGACTTTGCAGGCAATTAAGTTATCCTTAAACTTTACGTTTCAAATCGATTAAGATTTTAAGAAAAGATTAAAAGCCTATAAAAAACTGCCTAAACTAAAAAGAATCATAATAAAATTTTTATATTCCTGCCAAAAAATATTTTCCTCATTGGGAATCCGATCTAACAATAGAAAAAAAAAGTTAAGATTGCAGAGAAAAGGCTTTAAATTTTTGCGTGGCGTTAACTTATTTTCCAACATGCTAGTTTTGGCAAGAAAGTGAGTTCCCCTTACATATTAGCAAGGGGTTGAGATATTTGATTAAAAATTATAGAATTTTCAACACATAGATAATTAATCGACTCGTTTTAACAGCCCAATTTGAAAGAATTTTATAGCCTGCGGCAGACCGAGAAAATGAGTTGCTTCTGCGTCTTATAGTAGAATGAGATTGAGACTTCTTTCGATATAGCTCACTAGCTCGATTTATTTTTCATCGATAGTCCTAGTTATACGTCTGAGAGTGGCAGGGATCAAACTACGTGCCCTATAGGAGATAGAGCTAGAAAAGAGATGACAATTGAGGTTTCGCTCGGTTACAGAAATCTGTTTGGAGAAAAGTGGTTAAACAAATTTATCACAATCCCAGCAACAACAACAAGTGAAGTTGTATAAAAAACATTCTATCATTTTAGAAAAATATTGTTAGCAATTATTCAAATATTTTATCATCTTAAATATATATATATATTATTTATTATTATTTTACGTCACAACGAATAATTAGTTCACTTTCCTTTGTGCTAACTCAGCCAATTTCTCTGGCCATATTAGCAAATGCTGGCGCTTATTTATTTTACAATTAGCGAATTTAACTTTTAAAGTTTATTAAACTATATGTTTTATTGCTAGCATATCAATGTATTTAAAGGCCGACGTAAGCCAGAGGGAAATTAGTCGCTCCAGAGCCACGATGAAGTTATTTTATATACGTAAGTGTATTAGTTGTTTGTCTCAGGCAAATTATGCCAATTTACTTTGTCAACTTCAGCTCTATTTCTACTGCTGAGTGTGTCCTGGTTGTGCACAGCAGAGGAGTCGGAAATAAAAAATCCTGCTGGAACGACGACATCCGCAAAAGCGGAACAAATAAACACAGATGCCATAAAGACACAGACGCAGCTTCCTACCAAGAACGCTGCAATTGAGCCCACAGAGGAAACAGCATCCATTGCGACGCTTAGGTTCAAGAATTTCTTAAAAAGAAAATGGATGCAAAAACTAAGCACAACAACAACGCTAGCACCAGCAACAAACCCAACTGAGCCAACCTTTAGGAAAATTGATTTAAGTGGAAAGCCAGATTTTAAAATTTAAGTTGCCTTTTTATAGTTTCTATCATTTTTAATTTATTATTGTCTGTAAAGAAGGGAGTGCTATTTAATGAAATATAATATATAAAAAAAAACACTTAGCGATCAACAATCTCTCTTCGAATCGCAGCTGGTGTATGGATTGAGTACTACCTTAGCCAAAGTGCTAATAGCTTATAACTATTTCCTATAATTTTAATCTTTAGAAAAGCAAGAGTTTGCCCACACGGAGCACAAGCCGAAGTAGCTAGAAAGCTTCCATCTCCCAGTAGGATAAAACAGAGGTCAAAGTTTGTATAAAGACCTTCAATAAAAATGCAGCCAAATAAGGTGCTTGAGCGTCGGTCCAATAACCGAACAGTCTCTGGTTCCAATCAGGGTGTCACAATCTTAAGATGAAATGAGTAATGTATAGGAGACATTTCCGACCCCATAAAGTATATATATTCCTGATCAGTATAAACTATCGAGCCATGGTCGTCCCTCCGTCTGTCTGTTTCTATGCGAACAAGTCTCTCAGATTTAAAGCTATCGTCTTCAGACTTTGCATCGATTTGGCTTTCTATAGCAGGCAGTACAACTGTCGGAACGCTCGGTTGAAAAGAAGGTTTATTGCATGGAGAACTTTTTTATTTAGGATATTTTAACCAAACTCAGAACTTAAAAGTTTCACAATGCTCCCAAAATCTTATCAACATCGGGCAACTACTTATAATAGTTGCCATTGCAAAGATGGTTCGAAAAGTAGTTTTTTGTATGGCAAAAAATTCTGTTTTCCATTTCCATATTTTCATCAAGCACAGCATTTACGAGCTTCACTATTCTCACATCGCTGCTAAACCGTTAGACTTGTGGACCACAAGGGTATTAAATCTTTGGCGGGTCGAAGATATCCTTGTTTCCTTCTCGTTAACATTTGTTGAATTAAATGATGACTATGCACACAAAGACGCTATAATCATGCACTTAAAAACAAAGTTATTCAAATGAGATGCTAAGAACAAGACAATATAGAATAGAATAGAGGAAATATAGACCCACAGGCAGACGTCTTCATGATTTATATATTATATATATTTTTTTTGAATTATTTATCTATGTATATATATATATTCCATTGATTTTTCAACATGACCTATATGAGC